TGATTGTTTTTGTTGTTGCTGCTGGTGCTGGTGCTGTTGGTTGTCGTTGTTCATGTTGCTCCTTCCGCTCCAACCGACGTCCAGAGATTGTCGAGTATGTAGATTTGTGGAGATGGTCGTGTACCAACGGGCGCGTTGTTGTTGCTATGCTGGAAATAAAGGGAAATTGTTGTAATTCCCGCGTGTCTTTACGACTGTATCCTGTCCCGAATGTTGTTGAACCAGGCCAGAACGATTGTGAACGATGACTACCGCACCAACAACGGGCAAGGGCCTTCAAATATGGCCTTGTCCCCCCCACCCACTTAGCGTGTTCTCGGTATGGACGAAAGCAACTCATGTACCGGGCATCGCACATCCGATCAGAAGCAGTCAAAGCCTCACATGAAATGACCCCCAGTTCCCTCTCCGTTCCACAGCTGACCCGTTTACCCTTCGCTTGGAACAGGTGCGCCGTTTCCCCCCGGGTCGTGCGGCAGGTGCACAATGAGACCTTGTTTCAGCTCAGCATCACAGTCTTTATCTTCCCTGCCCGTGTTCGTTCCTCTCCCCCTGTCCCTTACGCAGTGGGCTCGAGCGTGAGGTGGAGCGGCTGAAGTCGGCCCTTCACCTATCCATTACCACCGTGCAGCAGCACATTGCGTCCGCAGACCCGTACAGCCCGGCAGCGCTCCTCGCCGACCCGGGTTCCACGCTGGCGCACTGCCTCAGTTCCTCAGCGCAAAGCGGTAGCAGCGGCGGAAGCGGTGGTGGCAGTGTGAGGAACAGCGCGAGTGAACGAGGTGCCGGGGGTGGCGGAGGGGCCGTCCTTGGTGGGATGCACACCAAAAATGATGCACTTGACCTAGAACCTGCCGTTGGTGCTTATGTTGCTTCTTCCGGAGTTTCTTCAAATTCCGCAACGGATGCTCATGGGACTACGGCTGATGGCTAGGGTTGGAGTCGCCAGGGTTATATCACCACAGGACATCTTTCAAGGCTGAATGTCCCCGATGAACCACTACACTTTTATCTTGCACATAACACGGACGAAACCGCTAGACAAAAAAATGGGGAACAGAGCGCGTTTCCTTGGTTCCGAACCTCGTAGCGTTGTGCAACACAATGTTTTGCTGCTCTTCGACGCGCAGTGGCAGGAGAGAAGAGGGCGTATGGTCGTCACGCTCCTGACTTGTGCGCTCCGTACAGGGACATGTGTTTGGACAGGAGATGCGGCAGGCAATAATACCGCAGTAACCTGCCAGTCTCTTATGCTTCTGCAACTTTTCGCCTGGTATTTCGAACGCAAAGACAGTTGTATCCAAACGCGATTTTCGATGCGGCTTGTGTATCGGTGACATACCGGCGTCAACCTTCCCACCCTTCCCCTGCGTGCTGAGCGTATTGTGTTTCACTGGCCGAAATCACCGGGATCTTTGATTTTTGTTTTCGGTCATCTGCGCACGTGAGGCATTTCCGGCCAGCAAGATATTATACTCAGCAAATTGGGTTTCGGGAACAACTTTCCGGGTTAGCCGGGCCATTTCGGCTGGATTGAGGGATGGGGCTTGGACCGGGCCGGGGTTTGCTTTGAGGATGCACACCTATTGCTGCTTACTTGGAACAAGGACGAGGAGAGGAGGTGTGGGTTGTGCCATGGGACAGGTGGCAATGAGTTGAACACTTTCGCAACCGTCATGCACTAAGTGGTAGCAGAATAACGTGTAGGACGAAGGGCGGGCCCAAGAAACAACGTTCACAACACGACATAACTGCTCGTTTGCACCAGCTCAAGTGCTCTAGCAGCCGGGTGAACGTCTCTCGCGAGTGTGCCAAGTTTGGCTGGCCTAGCTTGTAATTTTGATAACGCGAACGCACCATTTAATGAGGTAACCTCAAACTCCGCGTCGCTGTTGTTCTGAAGAACCCGACGAGCAGAGGATGTCTTCAGCCGGGAATGCCGCACTCATCTGCGTGTCTTGCCTTGCTCCTTCAGGCTTGGTAGATGGTGGGTGCTCCACAAAGCGGCGAGGTTGGTTGGATGGCAAAGATAGGGACGCAAAACATGTGTTCCGGGGCTGTCGTTTGAGAGCTTATCATCCAGTCTAAGTGTTCAGTGTTGAGTACTCTACCGGCCTTACACATTTCCACAAAGGGGACCTGAGGCTCCATCAACCAGACGGATGGATTCCTGCACCCTCCCAACCCAAAGCACATCCCAAAAACATTTCGGAGGCCTTAAGGCCGGGTTGGGAGCGGTTATCAGGAGAATGAGAACCGTATGTAGATAGACACTGATCAATCACCCGAATATTCAATTCGCAGCATGGTCTTTTCGATGGTTCAACTTCAAACGGAGGACCACACCTACTTTCGCTGGCAAAACCACCAAGAGGAGAAACGGGCAGGTGAGAAAACTCATACCACCCGCCTCTCGATGTTTGCCAAAGCCGACGGGCGCCAATGGTACCCAAGAGAGACAGCCATCCCCAACGTCAACCACTGAGGGAGTGGTCGCACAGAACCAGGATGTGATACACAATACTTTGGAGGGCGTGGAGGCCTATACTGGAGGAGGCCTGCGCTCGACGTAGCGTCTTTCATATCGCAGCAGCTCTCGATACTGATCGACAAGCAGAAATCGCATAGCTCACAGCCTGGCCCCTTCCATGGTTCAGGCCTTTGGTCCAGAAATATAGCATGTTCGTGTCGCGACTCACCCCGTTACAATCACCACATTCGTCCCAGACTGTGAAGAAACATCAACCCACCTGCCTCTCGATGTTTGCCAAAGCCGATGGGCGCCAACGGTACCCAAGAGAGACAACCATCCCCAACGTCAGCTACTGAGGGAGTGGTCGCACAGAACCAGGATGTGATACACAATACTTTGGAGGGCGTGGGGACATGCACTGGAGGAGGCCTGCGCTCGACGTAGCGTCTTTCATATCGCAGCAGCTCTCGATACTGATCGACAAGCAGAAATCGCATAACTCACAGCATGGCCCCTTCGACGGTTCAGGCCTCCGCTCCAGAAATATAGCATGTTCGTGTCGCGACTCACCCCGTTACAATCACCACATTCGTCCCAGACTGTGAAGAAACATCAACCCACTTGCCTCTCGATGTTTGCCAAAGCCGACGGGCGCCA